TTATTATTATTATACAATTGAATCACAGCAGCCAGTTGTTTTGCCGGATTTGGCATTGGTTACTAGTCGGGTCCCACCCAGGGGCCTAGGACATCGTAACGTATTTTCGTAATATGCGTGCGGATCCAATATGCCATGAATAATATTTAAAATGTGCTCTAAATTAGTGTGCATCACTTTTTCCTGTTCTACCAAGACCTCTTTTTTCCCCCCCCACGTAATGGACAGAGTCTTAGAAAACTTTACAGAATAAAAACCCAGACATCAGTTCTTTGGTGATTTAAATGCACATTAGCAAATCTGTGTCTTGTCCTAATTCACTCCTGTTCTGCATGAGCAGAGGCTAGAAGTATCATCAGGATTGTTTGTGAAATTGTTTAAAAGCAGTAGCACATCTCTGCTTTTAATGATTTTTTCCCATCATGAGTTAAGTGTAAGCACTGTGAATGAAAGTAGTCAGGGTTAGCTGCAGGGGTTTTCGTTCTAATTGTGTGGGCTCTTCCTCCCTTTTTTATGGTGATGCTAATTGCATTGGTTAAAGCAGCTAACCAGTTATATTCTAGCCAAGTCTAACTTAGCTGTAGCTGGACAAGCTTGGTTGTTTGAAAAAAAAATGGGAACATTAAACATCCATTCACTAATAATATTGTGATTCTGCTGTCAAGTGTAAAAATCTTCCTTTCAAGAAAAAGCTTGTGACCATTTTGTATGGCTTGTCTGGAAAATCTTCTGTAAATCTTATGTTTTAGTAAAATATTTTGTTATTCTATTTTGCCTTTGTACAGTTTGTTTTGATGTGTTCTTTTTCCCCTTTTCAATTGTGACAATCGCTTTTTTAAAAAAAACAAAGCTGGATTGAAACTGTCTGATTTCATCAACCTAAAAGCTGTAGTATAATTTTGGATTTTTTCCCCAACTTGTATTAATGCCTTACTAGTGTTCATAATATTTTTTGTTTTTGTGTTTTTTAAAAGCCTTTGATAATGTAGTAGCTTATCAGAGACTTAAATAGGTTAGATGCATCATTGATGTTATGTACATGCAGTGTAAAGTACCACTAAAGCAGGAAGCTAGCAAAACAAACAGCAATTTTGGGTGTGTATGTAACTTGTCTGTCTTGTGTTAAGTATTATCGGGTATCAGACTATACATTTAAAGATAATTTGCATCTTTAAAAAATGATCCTGTGCATAGAATTAAATCCTACATTATGGTGAATTGAGATCTTTACAGCTAGCTTTGTTAAATCTGGTTTTATCTGCAATCCTTACATTACTGTGGTTTTGCTCCATTTCTTAATTTGGAATATAGATTTTTTTTTTTAAAAAGCCATCATGTTAAGATGCAAAAAAGGGGCATATCCACAGGGGCATATTTTGACCACATTTCTCACTTCNAGGTAGACCTTTGGGTATTGCTCCAAGGGCTCCAATTACAATCGGGACAACACACAATTTCTTTTTCCACAGTCGCTCAACTTCAATTTGCAAGTCCCAGTGTGATTTCACAAAGTCCCTTTGTGATTTTTTCTTGCTGTTTATCTTCAATTCGTCGTCGTCGTCGTTGTTGTTGTTGTTATTATTATCATCATCATCATTACTACTACTACTATTATTATTGCCAGCCAACTTTAATTGATTCAGCAAATAACGGTTAAACAATCATGGTTTTATCTCAGGCAAAAAAAACAACACCCTCATTGGGATGAGAATTTTGCTGCTTTACCTCAGGCAACAGGCCTTTCTCGGGCAAAGAGAGACGTCTCGATGGTTCTCATCTTTAAGGGAGATTAAGAGGCGCACCTTCTAGAGTCCTCCCGCTGAGGAAACCATCGGTTCATTCATCCTCTCTTGCTAGCAATCGACACTACACTTCCCAGCTTGCCCCCGGAGGTGCTGCGGTGACGTTACGGGAAGTGATTCACGGGCTCCTTCCGGTAGCGCGCAAGCCCCGAGCGGAGTCGAGGTCCAGTGGAGACTATATCCTGATAAGACAAGATGGCCGGGTTGCCCCGCAGGATCATTAAGGTACCCGCTTTACTTCTCCTCTTGTCTGTTCCCTCTCCTCCCTTTCCTTCCCCTGCGGGCAGCTGGAGGCAGGCCCCGCAGTCGCTCGTGGCCGGGAGAGCCTGGAGCAAATGCTTCGGGGGCGCGGCGTTTCCGGTGAGAGAGACAGGCAGGGGTGTCACTCTGCTGCTACTGCTGCTGCTGCTGCAGGGGGAGGGGGGGCGAGGGACCGGCGGCAGGAGCGGCCACCGCCATTCGAGGCGCGCTCTCTCTTGCTAGCGTGCGCGTAGATGTGCAAAGGAGCGACGGCCGGTGGGTGCGTGACGGATGCAAGGAGCGCCGCGGGCGAGGCCTCGGCACCCTAGGCTGCCGTGAATGAATGGGAATTTCAGGCGGGGAGGCGTGTACGAGCCCCCTCCCTCTCCGGCCGCCACCTCTTCCGGACCTTCACCGCGCGGTCCACCCGCCCCTCAGTCCCGCCTCGCCCTTCCCGCTCCTTGGTTTACTCTGCGGCCGAAGAGGGAGGCGTTTTGATGGGGCAACAGGCTAGAGATGTCTGACCTGGGGCCGGGCCGGCAGGCGGGTGGAAACGGCTCAGCTGAATAAGCCCCAGAGCTCTGATGTGCAGTCTCTATATTCGCCGCCGAAATAATTCTGCTCTTTTCTTTCCGACAAACAGCTAATCCGGGGAGAAGTGAGCGTGCTCTCCCTTCCCACGAGGAGGAAGGAGATGGTCAGTTTAGCGATGACTCATGAGTACCTCCTTAAGGAATTGTGCTTTCACCGCTTGCCAAATTGCCTTGCAGCTCCTTTCCCCACCTCCTGTGTTTTTGTTTGAGTAAATCCAGATTTGGATAGAAGCTAAAATATTTTCATTTGAATGCATGCATCTTATGGCAGATTCTTGATGCCTCTATGTGTGGCATAATTCACTTTCTGCAGAATTTAATGTATAGTTTTAAAATCATGGAATGAAGGTGAATTAACTGTTAAGCACTTGATTTAAAATAAATCCACTTACAAATTGTCAGTCTTCTATATGTATTTTGTCATTTGTAGCATTTTGTTTTGTTTTGAATATTTATCTAAATCTGTTCCAGTGTTAACAGAGCACTTACGAGATCTCTAGCTAAGAGGGGTATAGATGATTTTGCTGAAAGAGATGCATTTCTACTGGTGGATAGGGCCAGAATGGATTCCCCAGAGACCCAATTATGCTGAAGGAAGCAAGGCAGATGATGTATGAGAAGTTACTTCCACCCTTGGCTGGTGGAAGTTGTTCACTTTTCCTTCCTCTTCACAGCTGTTTGATAAATATAATTAGAAATTTAGTAGTATAATTTTACTGGTGGTTATAGGAACTATGCACACACATAATACACACATACAAATGATAATGTACTTTGATAACTTATACTAAAATCTTTAACACATTGCAGTCTTATGGCTTTCTCCAACATGATACATACAATTAATTGGTTTGTATTTTAGAATGGCTTTTCTGGGAAGGATCAGCTTTAGTGATGAAATTCTCTTCATTGCAGTAAAACACCAGTTAAAACTGCAACTGTTTATCAACAGTAAATTTCTTTTAACTGGTAACCTATAAAACTAATTCATAATCTTCAATATTACTAAAGAAGCAACACCAAGCCAAATCTATTTGCTCTAATGTCTTTCCTGTAGCTTGTTGATCATTTTGGAAATGGAATGTTGAAATAAAAAGGCCTTTGAAATGATCAAGCAGGTAAATATCTCTTATCACAATAATGAAACAACATAATAGTTCTAATCCAAACTGAGAAGCATCAGGGTTGAAAGGGTTGGGTTTTCTTTTTGGTAGATTTGTCTTACTTAATCAAACTATTCATATACAGGTGTTATTTGGAATCACTACATTGGCATTTCAAATTTACATTTAGTTATTAGCCATTGATTATGCAAACCTGCAGATAATTATGTACTATCGTAGATAAATCTTGGAAACAGCTGGAGGAGAAAAATGTCTCCTCACAAAAGGAATGGACCTCTGAGCAACACCCACCAAATATAGGAATGATTTATTACATTCTTTCTTAGAGAATAGACAAAGATACTTCCTTTAGCACCACCTGGCTCTATGATATAATCCTTGTTCCACTAGGCTCCTAAGTCTGTTGTAATATCTGAGAATGGTGCTGATATGAATAACACTCATTTGGTTCATAAATCCCTGGTACTCAGACTCTGTAAAACTTTCACATTTTAGCAATGGGATCATCCAAGAGAATTCAGCTACCCAGAACCTAGTTGGTTAGTAGCCAAATGTATGGAAATTGAGTGAACATTTTGTTAACCTGCAGTACAATAGCAAAACCATCTAATCCACCCTAGCATTCTAAAGAACTTCTATTTGTGTATACTAGTTGTTCATATTGCAAGCTATATGCAGACAGGTTAAAAATAATATCACCAATATCAGTCTCCATTCGCCAGATCCTGACCTTTCTATAAATTGGGATCTTGCATAAGTATCTGCCTTCCCTTTAGTCCTGTTGCCAGGAAGCCTTGAACCTTTCTTGGCATCATCAAGAGATTCCTAAGTGAGAGGGATCCCTGTTAAGATTAACAGCTATCCAGAAGTATCTGTTGTGGGGCTTTCAGCTAGTATTTCAAGTCATAACCTGAGCCCTGATTGAACTCTTATGTGAGTCAGCTTGGAACTCCCTGCATGA